ATGTATTTAGATTGTATTATACATATTTAGGAAAAATTATGCATTAAAAATTAGCAAATTAGGGCAGATAAAAAAATTAAAAGTCAGTTTTTTAAAATTTTAAACGGAGAAGTTTATCAGCCTTAGGTTAAGGTTGTAATTACTGTTGGAGTAAGTCCGCTAAACTCGTACTTGTTCTAAGTATAGAACGATAGGTCGGTGACCTAACTTATTCTTCCTTTAAGAGCAAAGCTATGGCAGCCCCGCTGCATAAGTACACAGCATTCTATCGCAAGAGCATTCGGCAACTACTACTTCTTTCGTGCGGCCCACACGTGATCTTGTTTTGGTGTGTATCCTGCTATAAAGATGACGTATCCGGCCGAGTCGTTTTTTGTCAGTTCGCGGTCGACAATAAACCTGGCGCGAGTCTTTACCACAGATTCCTCATTTTCGGGGCTCATTTATTTTTTATAATTACCGATATTTCGGATCTTATGAAAATTCTCAAATACATTATAGTGCAAACATTTCTTTACGATTGTACCTAAATGTGTAAGGGATAATTACACAAGATTATAATACTTACCCGAATACATTCACCTTTCAGCTGTTGCTGAACTTGAATGCGGCTACCAAATGGGTGTGCACCGCGACTTCGTGTATTTAACCCCCCGGGGGACGGCCTCGTGTTAAATTAACTTAATTTGAATTTCATGTAAACTCGAATTAGCAGAGCTAACGAGACACCTAGTTACTATAGCGGCTGTGATCCTACAAATCTAAGCGCAGACTCTCGAGTAACAGCCTCATCTACGCAAAGTGTACGATGTCTCCGTTGCGGAGACATAATAGAATTTCTAGATGCCAGTAAGAATTGCCTTAAACATGTCTTATGAATTGAGCGAACAGCACCGTCGTCACCAGAAAAAGCGGAGTCACCCGGAGAAAACCAAAGGGATCGTGTAGCATCCTACGACAGAATTTATATGCAAGCAATAGATACTTACTTCATTACAGCTTCCCCGCAAGAGCAAATAGTGGTGCTGACCATAACAATTCTACAATCAAGGGGTGAGATGAGTTGGCCGGCACGCTAAGTGACATTTATGTTTTCCGATTTATGGATAATGTGTATATTCTTACATTTTTCAAACATTTCGTGTAAATATTTCACAATCCCCTCAAACATGGCTTTCGCAAACAGGGCAAGCCGATATGCCAAGAGGCGTCCCCACCTTACCGCCGATCCTTTTTTTCTTGATCCTCACATCGAAATCATATCTTAAACCTCGGCCATGCCTCGTCGACTATTAATTGCTTGGGCGCTGGTTGGTTGGACCCTGCTTTTCCAACCGGGAAGTTGTACATCACCAAGCTACACTACCTTTGCAAACTCCCGTCCAACGGATACAAATGTGGAGCTTGTCTCATGTAAGACACGTAAATCTGTAATCACAGCTTTAATGTACATTTTATCATAGCTTACAACTGCACTGCAGTTCTACCGACCGTAGTTTACGAAAATCTGGATGGAGATAACACGGCAACGCTTGTGACCCCGAGCTCAGGTGTCCTCGTGGCACATGTGAACTACCGAACGGTATATTGACCAAAACTGCTTATCGAGGTGTGGCTACTGAGACATTGATAAAGCTGGATATTTGTGTTGTATATTGCAGGATTCGCGATACTTTACAGAAAATGTTCTGGAGTCAAGGCTTAATTACCCGAGTTCGTGATGTCATTCGTCACAATATACGGTCAGACTAATTTTTTTACTCGTGTACCTATCGTAGTTTCTATGAGCCCGTACGCAAAGATCTCGTATGCATCGAAATCTATGCCAACAACTGTGTATAGAGCTGGACAAGGAGCCAGCTTTCAAAGGGATTTCGATGCTGCCGCTGCACCTGCGGAGACTGATGGATTTTGCGAGCGCGAGCTATCCGCTCTTGGGCCATTTTTAAATTCCCAAACCGACATATGTGGCAGATTAAAGCAGGTGGATACGAATGTGGGATTTCTGTTGCAGGTCGAGTTTGTGGAGCCTAGTCCCACCATTACAAGCTGGTCCTGGTATTTGGGGTTACCTTTTCGAATTGGTAATGGTGCTGTGGTTATACTTGATGGGGTAGTGATACAAGATTTGATGGGAAAAACAGGATATTGGAAAAGCGTACTGTCGAGGGCAACACTTGTCGAAATGAAAATTACGCCTGGGTTTCATGTGCTAAAAATTTATGGATTTTCTGTAAAGTTTGAAGTGTCAGCAGTGTACTTCAGCCGAGAGGGATCCACACCAGCTATTGCTTCTGTGTATGCCATTGTTGGAGAGTTAACGAAATGGTGTCCATTTGTTGCTTCTGACCCTACAATAACAACTTTACTTTCTGCTGAACAAGAGAAAGTAGCGAGTAACATCGAAAGAGGTTCATCTGTTTTGCAGTTTCAGAACGCCCCCGTTGACGGAAGATTTGCACTGAGATTTGGGTCCGTTTGGACAACTGATTCCAAAAAAATTAAGCTTAATACCTCGTCTTCTGTTTCATTTTCGTTTCTACCTACCACCACTTGGATTAATGCTAGGGCAACTCAGACGTTTTTTCTTACATCAGTTACCTCACAATGGAACGTGGTACCTGGATTATCTTTCTCTCTTCCTTCCTCATCAGGCGGAATTTTGCTTAGTTCGTTTACTGGACGATTTTCCGGGGACAAAAGTGCATTGAAAACATTTCGTCTTGTTCTTGGATATGGGTCAAACTTGTCGTCTCCGGTCGCAGCTTTTCGCTTAGATGATACCATTGTTGATGCATTTGGAGTGTCACTTGACTTCTCCTACTTCACCAGCATCCCGACACGAAGCGCATTGAACTTATCTCTCAGTTATCAATACCAAGGAACAAAACCAGGAAGGATCATTGGTGGTAAAATAACTGCTGTATTTTTTCCCGGAGCTTCGTTAATTACCGACAATATAAGTGACATGGTCGTGTCTTCGACAGCTACAATCTTTTCAAAACCGGTAACGATTTTATCCTCAAGTACTCTCGTGATCAGTATTGCTGGTATTATTTGCCGCAATTCGGCCGCTGAGAAATTTCGTGCGCGCATACTGAGAAATGCGGATCCTCTACCTGATGGAGACTTTGTTTCGGTCATTGGGACTGTGGCGAATGGAACATGTGAGACTTTGATGATGCACTCTGTTGTTGACGCTGTTGCTGGTTTGCACACAATCGCGCTCGATGCGAAGACATCGTCAGCTGCAGGATTTCGGCTGAAAGAATCAAAAGTTCAAATTGCTATCATTGAGAGAGGCGCCTTGATCACACAGGATTTATGCCAAACTCGCTGTGGTAGACACGGTCTTTGTCGTTTAGGTGTGTACAATATTGTGACAAGCACATGCAACCTCTATATGCGCCGCAATATGTCTGCTATGTCAGTAGATGCAACACGATTGACTTACGTGCGAGACAAAGCATTAATAACTTCCCAGAACGCATGGACAGTTCTACGCAATACTCAGTGGAATCTTAGCCGCAATGTATCGCTGCAGGCACCGTGTAGAGGAGATACTTGTAATGAACTTGTCTGCGCCGAAGCGTACTCGTTAAAAGATCGATGTCGGTGTAAATGTCATTCTAGCAGCGATTGCGTTGGGTTTCTGATTATAGACAGAGTGTGCTTTGGAATCACAGCAGCCGAATTTCGTCAAAATTTACTGTCTGGCAATTACAATATCGTAGGTCGAAGCACAGTTCATCTTAATTTGCCTCAAACTTGTTACGCAATCAAGGCTGACGCACCAAATGCACTAAGTGGGCGCTATACTATAGCAACGACTGCAGGAGTCTATGATGTCTTTTGTAATATGACGGCAGATACCGGTGAAGGCTATACAGTCATTCCCTGTGACTTGGGTACTAGCGACATCGAATGCCGAGGCAGTACAGGCCCGAAAGACGATGATAGCTGTAAGGCAATGGGCCTTCGACAAGTCGTACCGCGCTCATCAGGTCATTTCGTATCGATGCACCGAAAATTCGGGTCGCTCTTTTTTGCCACTGTACCCGGTGTAACGAATGCCTACGTAGGTGACCTTATGACTCTACCAGGCAACGAAGATACTGTCTTAAATTGGACGGCAATTGACGGCGGGAGATGGTGGCTGCGTGACAACGAAAGTGTTTCTGATCTCATGTCCCCCACTAATGCACCAGGTGAAAGGAGATGGTTAGGAATGCATTGGGCTATAAATGGTCAAAATATTCTGAATGGTCTAGGCTTGAGCTTCGATCCGCGTGGCTTAAAAACAACACGATACCTGTGCTCAACAAACGATTTAAGCCCCTCCGTATCGTGGAGTTTTGTTCTTCAAGACTCGTTCATCGGAAATGGCGACGATAACTTGTGGATAACATCATGGGGCAGTACAGATAATTGGTACCAGCTATGCCAAGGCATTGTTTTTCTTGGTGGGCGGTCATTCGGGCGAGCCGGTTCTTTTGTTAGTCGCAAATTTGCTCAGATCAGTTCACCTACAAACGTGCGCATCATGTTTACGTACTATTTTGTATTTGATCCTTCAAATTGGACAACACTTCTACTTAAACATTCCGAGGCTAAGACTATACGTGTTTATCTTGGCCCCCAGCTAATTCGGCAAATACAAATCGACACGTCGGCTACGTATGCTTGCTACGGACAAAGCGCAACAGTACCCCAGCAAACATATTTTTTTAGGGGGAGAGAAAATTTTGTGCTTAGAGGCTTATTTGGAAATATATCTCCCCTTCGATTTGACGTAGATTTTGGATCAATAAGTATTATTGCATTTGGTATCGATGACGTCTCAGTTGAGGAAGAGTCGGTTTTTCGAACACAATTAGGATTATCGATGGGTAATCCAGCAGTGTCATGCATGCATTTAAAAAACGAGCGACTATTGATCGGAGATTCCAATCCAGATGGCCAGTATTTCGTTCAGCTTCATCCAGATTTGGACCCAGTACTCATTCCTTGCTCAAATGGCTGGATAGTCGCGCAGCGCCGATTAAACGGTAAAACAAGTTTTAATCACAATTGGAACGAATATCGAGATGGATTTGGCCTTGGCTCCTCTAGTGAGTGGTGGATCGGAAACAGTCTTCTCTCGGCTGTCACAGATAGAGCCACCGAAGCAATGATTGTGATAACGAAAAACTACCAATCTTTTTCTGCGTTTTATAGCGATTTTCGGGTCGCTAATGAAAGCGAAAAATACCTTCTCACTGTGCAAGGGTACAACTCTCAGGCTAGTAATGCCGCCGATGGTTTAACTTCGCTTTCTAATTCCTATTTCAGCACTCCTGACCAGGATAATGACTTGTCTGCAAGCGAAAACTGTGCCAAAAGAAGTAGAAGCGGGTTTTGGTACGCAGACTGCCTCGGCAGCTCTACATATTCTGATCTCAATGCCCCGTTCGAAATGCTCCCAATTTGCACTTCTTACTCTGCATGGGCACGAAGCTGGTGCCAAAAGCGCGGAGGTATTGTCTGGGACTCTGTAGATGGGTATGATTTCTCGATGATTTTACTTCGACCGGATAGGTGCAGTCGGGGATACGTCTTCTCCGAGACAGAAGAGTGCATTCTGTGTCCTGCGGGTACATATTCTGAGCGATATACACAGGTTTGCAGTGCCTGTCCGGCTGGTTCATATGGTCCTTCAGCTGGAGCGACCGCTTGTCTTAAATGCCATACGGGATTTAAATGCCCAAGTAGCTCGATAGTACCAGTGAAATGTCTAGCAGGCACATTCGCTGATGCTGGATCAAGCGAATGCTTCAATGTGCCAGAGGGATACGCTGGCCCATTCGATCAAATGTCTCGAAGTGATCTTTTACCATGCACAAACGGGACTTATTCTAAACCAGGACAACCAAGCTGCAGTCCTGTACCGGCTGGCTTTTATTGTCTGCAACGCGGCGTTGCTTGTGGTTATACAACCTTGAGTCCATGCCCATCCAGAAGTGTGTACTGTCCAGAAGGAAACAATGGCCAAATTATCGTCCCACCTGGTTACTATTCCGTCGGCTCAATGGACAATGAGCAACAGTCTGCAATATTACCATGCCCCAGGGGCTACTACTGTCGGAAAGGTGTTGCGTATCAATGTCCACCAACACGATTCGGTGATCAAGTTGGTCTTACAAGCCCTCTTTGTTCGGACCGATGTGCTACTGGGTGTGCGTGTAAAGCTGGCAGCGTCAGCAGATGCCCCGATGCTCCGAGGTATCAAGATCAAGTCATGTTGTCTCCGGCTTCAATTTCGTACACACTTGCACCAATATCCAAGCAGCCCAGTGAAAGTATTGACTCTTTCTTTCAAGGCATTTCTTTTGCGATAAGCAATGAAGCTGCAGTTGTCGTCGACGTTTTCGACTTTAAAGACATTAATCGTACATTTTTTGGGACGGGCTGGCTGTCTGGATTTGCTCACAACATAACAATATCGTATTTCGAGCAATCTCAGGCCAATATGATATACGAGTTTCAATTGCCAATCGCTGGCTTCGATTGGGGTGCTGTAGTAATGCTTGATGGAAGTATATTAGTTTCACGATCTAGAAATGGCACGCTCGCCTTTTCGTACAAGTCGTCATGGGGTCAACATTTCTTAACAATAGTTGCAGCCGAATCCCAATTTGTCGCAAAAAGGTCGATTTTATTTCGAAAGTCACTAAATGTGAGCTTTAGCAGTTTGCGGTGTGATCTTTTGGATGGACAAGCGATAATATTGCAAATTGACATCAATATGTGCTCTGCTAAGTCTGTGGTCTGTGAAAGTGTGGCAAAAATTAATGGAGATGTGGCGAAAACTCTTGCCCAAGCTCCAAATTTTGTCGATATTTTAGTATATACTGGAATGGGTTCTTTAAGCTCAATAATAACTAGTGATGTTTCTACAACTGCCACTTACATGTCAGTACTGTCTGGAGTGGATGCTGGTGACATTATAATTATTGTTGGTAGAAAGACTGAGATGTTACCATTGTCGTTGCGTAGATGGATAAGCACTTATGGTGTATCCCAAGCAGCAATTGAGTCTGCGTCCCCAGGCTTTGTGTTGGTGGCGGTCAGTGATAAAACAAAAGCTGCCACATTTGAAGTTGTGACATCGGAAACGACGTATTCGTCACAGTTGGTGCTGCCTCTTTATCAGGCCATATCACACTATAACTTTACCAGTGTTCCACCTGGCTACTATTCTGTTCCTGAGAATGTGTCCGATGGTCGGCAAAATGAGCTGCGAGTATGTCCACACGGATACAGCTGTTTAAACGGCGTCCGCACGCTTTCTTTTACATTTCCTTATTCGGTTTGTGTCGACAATGTGCACACACTCAATATCAATGAGAACGACATTAAATACGTTTCTGACGTGAGCTTTAGAGCCAATATCAATCATAGTGGTATATCTTATCAACTGAGTGCCCCAGTTGACAATATATTTTCATTAGACGAGGAAAATCGCGTGAAGCTTGAAAAAGCATTAAACTTCGAAGCAAAAAATAACTACGATTTGACGTTGTTGCTTCAAGAAGCTCAATCAACAGTGCCATTTGCAGCTTGCCGAATTCATGTGAATGTTATTGATGTTAACGAAGCCCCTTGCATCACCGGTCATGAAACCGCTCGTTATATAAAAGAAAATGTTTTGCCACCTTTCTCGCTTTTGCCTGCCCTTGTTGTGAATGATCCTGACTTTTCTGATTCTTACACACTCACAATTGCTAGTGGAGGAAATGGCAACTTTGTGATTAATCGAGATGGCTTTATCGTTGCAACTAAGCTATTAAATTTTGAATCGACATCCGAATTTGTATTGGGCATTATTGCCAGAGACGTGGGGGGCTCAGAAAGCCACGCCAACGTTACTATCGTAGTTCAAGACGTTCCAGAACCACCACTTTGTACTTTTTTTGCTTTTAGCACGGCAGAAAACACAGCTGTTCGAGCAGCCATTGGTAATATGCGTGATCATTCTTCAGACCCTGATGTGGGCGACACTATAACGTATCAAATGGTTTATCAAAGTGTACCAGACTATCTAACTATTGACTCGACGAATGGCACGATATCCTTACAAAAAGCTTTAGACTTTGAAATTCAGGATACAATTCAATTTGCAGCTCAACTTACAGATAAGACAGGTCTTCAGACTACATGTGACTATATCATTGCTGTCACGGATTCCAATGATGCCCCAGTAATGTCAAGTGCAGTTTTTCGCGTAATTGAAAACTGTGCAGGAAGAGATTGTTTTGTTGGTGATCTTATTGATTATGCATTTGACGAGGACAAAGGCGCAAAACTCACTTTCGGCTTGATATCGGGCAGTGATTTATTTTACCTTTATGGATCTCAGCTATGGGTCGTCGGTAGTTTAAATTATGAAAATGCTTCTGTTCTTTACATAACTGTCTCTGTTAGTGATGAAAAAAGTGGTCATGACGAGGCAAACGTGGCAGTTCAGATCATCGACCAAAATGAAGCCCCAATTGGCTCAGTCTTTTCGATGCGGCTCCAAGAAAATATTCCTGTCGGCACTATTGTCTGCACATTTGAGGCTAATGATCCAGAAGGTGACCATCTATCGTTTATGATCGTGCACGCCAGCACCGGATTCGAAGATTTATTTGAAATAGCAGGTGATAACCTAATGACGAAAGCCGTTATTAATTACGAAAGTATGTCTGCTCATTTATTCCATGCAAACATAAGCATATGCGATCCTTTTCAATTATGTACTGAAATCGGACCCAATTTGATCGAAGTCATAGATGGTCCAGACGCGCCAACCTTTTTGAAAGCAGATACAGCTTCTGTTCTAGAATCAGCACCGATCGGATTCGCTGTTGATGCTTATTTTACGTTTTTGGATGAAGATGCAAACCAAAGTGCACGGCTCCAGTATGCTATCTATTCTGGTGATCCACAGAATCAATTCTCGATATCTAGCTCAACTAGACAGCTGACAGTGATTTCCACGCTCAATGCTGAAATTGTAAGTAAATACACATTAGTTGTGCAAGCAACAGACGCAGATGGGCTAGTTGGTCTCTCAGCTCCAATACCAATAGCCGTGGAAATGGTACCATCACCACCATTTTTCGTTGGTATCTCCATTTCAAAAGCCAATTACAACGTTGACATCAGCCAGTTAAGCGATGGATCGTACACTGTAGTCTCTTTACCTATAGCAGACCGAGATCCGGGGCAAACTGGTGGGATATGTTCAATTTTAACACAATATGACAAATTCTCAATTGAAACTACCCGTGATGGAACGGCTTGCCTATTATCGGTCGTTCAACATGTTTACATTCCTGAAGTCAGTGGTGATGAGCGTATCAATGTCGTGGTGCGAGTAACAGACACGAAAAATACTTCATCTTTTAGTGAGGTTGCGATAAGCATATCATCTCGCAACAAAAATCGCCCACCTAAATGCTCCGGCGCAGAAACTCATCTTTTGGAAAATTCACCATATGCTACTGTTGTTGGCGCAATAATTGGAAGTGACCCAGACGTCATTGACAAAATTTCTTTTTTCATTGACTCAGGTGATGACAGGGATACCTTTCACATGGATGTTTTCAGTGGCATTGTTACTGTAGGCACCACTTTACCCGATTTCGAGATTAATAGCCGATTTACGTTAAAAATACGGGTTCAGGACGATGCTGCAGCCAGTCTCGCTGGGTACTGTACCTTCGTCATTAATATCATGAATGAATTGGAGTCTCCGATATGTTCTATTGTAGTGGTTCATTCAATTCCCGAAAATGATGCGCCAAATGCTCGTGTTGGAGATGCTCTCTGGAAAAGTTGCATTGATCCTGACACACTTCTGGGCACTTCCAATGCTTTTCTTTTTGAGATCGTTGATGACACCTCAGCTTTTCAAGTCGACATAAATTCGGGTCAAGTGAGGACTACCAAAATTCTTGATTATGAGCAGCAAACACTCCACAAAATATCACTTATAGTGCGTAATGTGTTTCGACCTGCTAAAAGCACACTTCTGGGCCTAACCGTAGAGGTGTCTGACGAAAATGACCCTCCTCAATTTTCATTTCTGCCTGCCTTTCCAAGCTCTACACTTGGCTGTGTTGAAGTCCCGGAAACGTCTACGATCGGTTCATCAGTTGGTACCATTGTTGTTTATGACGAAGATGCTGGCGATGTATGCACAGTCATATCTATGCATTCCCTATTTTATCTGGAGTCTGTTAATTTGACAACGTACAACGTCCTTCTAAGTAGGCCTGTCGATTACGAAACCCGTTCATTGTATTCGCTTCAAATACTCGCAACAGATTCTGCAAAGGTATCCACGGCGTTTAATGTCGACGTTCGAGTTTTAGACGTCAACGAGGCTCCTTACTTTGCAGATGACCAGCACTTCTTTATTGAGGAAAATAGTGACAAGAACACAATTTTGACATCAAGATTTCATCCACGAGGTCCGTGCGATATCATTGAAGAAGCCACCAAAATTGAAGAAAAAGTTGCTTATTCATATGGAAATTGCTTACAGCACTGTTCACTCAGAAACAGTTGTGAAGCAGGCGTCTACAAACATTCCTCCGCGCAATGCTTCCTTTACAGAGCGAAACCGAGATTGTGTGTGCCATGCAAAGATTGCGAAGGATTTGATAGTATTGCCGAACGGTCAGCTAATACCGCACTTCAAATTACGAGTTATACTGTTAACGTGCGTCAAGACAAGCTTATGCATGTTCCTGACGCCGACTTTACGCTGGAATGTTGGGTTGCAATCGATTCAAACGAGGGGACGCTTCTGACTTGGAATGACAATAGCAATACTTTAAGGGGTATAGAGCTGAATTATCTTGAAGGAAACTTACGAGTCACTGTACATGGTGTTGCGATAAATGTAAAAGCAGCGTTGATGCCTATGTCATGGTATCATATAGCTGTTTCTTTCGATAGTATTGATGGTGAAATAGTAGTGTACTTAAATGGCGCAGTCGTTCTCCAGCAGATAATTTTTATTCATACAAGAGGTATCTGGAGCTCGTCAGCTGCGCTAACGGTTGGCAACTGCGCTTATAAAACAAGTTGCCCACTTAGGCCTTTTACCTTTTCAATTGACGAAGTAAGCAATTTTATTAAATCGGCCTACTTTTGTATGTTAATCTGAATTTGCCATTTGCAGCTGCGGGTATGGAAAACCGTGAGAGGACCTTATGCCATACGATCAAACATGGCACGCTCACTTAATCCAGATCAGCCTTCTTTACTTGCTTTTTTCAGGTACTTTTGATCGAATGTGTCAGTTATTTTAGATGCTGACAGCTGGTTGCCTAATCCTATGTAGGTTTAACGGCGATCTAATTGATTCAACATTAAGTAGATCTAGTCTGTCTACTCCGGACGGTAACGACGCACAATTCGGCAGAGCTCCGAGTATCAGTGAGTCGATTGAGCTTATGGCTAAGAAATGGCGCTTAGTCGTTTTATCGGGCAATGAGGCTCTTTCATTTGGAATCGCAGAACTTGATTGGTTTTCGGAAGGCAGAAAAGTTAACATGTTGACAGACCTTTCGAGCTTTAATTCATCAAGCGACTCAAGTATACAAAATGCCATTGACGGAGATCCAAGCACTGTATCCTACATTGGTGCAGATATAGCGGGTGGCACTGGTTTATGGATTGAGTTCGTTTTCCAGACTAAAGTTGGTGCTTCTAAAGTCGTCCTCGATACGGATAGCAATCTTACTCACTGCGTGTCCGTTGTGGCAATTCAATGCTGGGATGATGAAGAATACGATTGGAAAGTATCGTCGTATTTTCGAAACATTGATAGGCCATCCTCGCGCTTTGCTTCGTACGGTAAGTTTTATTCAATTGTTAGTATTGAGCAAATGTTATGTTAACTGTTACTTATTAGCCCCGACGCAGTACGTCCGAGCAGATGACGACGACTTTGACATGTCTTATCTGATGTACACTTTAAAAAGCGCTGAATATGCTTCAATATTCGAAGTGGATAGCGTGACGGGTCACATCAAAACCAACGACTTCACACTTGATTACGAAAGCCAGAAGTTCTATGAGCTTCATATAGGTGTCGAAGATAGTGGTAACCTACTTGCGTTGACAGTAGTTATGATATGGATCGTGGACGTAAATGAAGCTCCTGTGCTGGTGCCAGACACCATTTTTCAAGTATCAGAGACCGCGACGTCCGGTACATTGCTTGGACGAATCAATTTGTATGATCCTGATAATGACGAGTTAGCTGTATCGATAGTCGAAGGCAACTATCGTGATGCGTTCTCCATTGTGATGAATTCGGTCATGGTAGCAAACGCCACATTAAATTACGAAACGTACCCGACGTACTTGCTGAAGCTGAATATCAAAGAACTACGCAGTGAGACCCCGCTCTCCACGTACGAACACCTTACTGTTCACGTACGTGACATCAATGAGGCTCCTACTACCAACAATCAGACCAAGATTGTTTTTGAAAATAGTAAGGCTGGGTCTTTGGTTGGTAGTCCTCTTCTCGCTTTTGATCCTGATTTCGCTCAAAACTTGTCCTTCGCTATCATTGGTGGGAATGACGATAGTTTCTTCGCAGTGGACTCGTTCACAGGTCAACTTCGGGTAGGTCAAGGCCCTTTACAAAAGTTTAGTGGGTGCTTCTCGCAGCTTCGCAATGGATTGTTAGAGTCAATCAGTTTATATGGGAGTATGCATCCTTTTTTCGACTGCTACAACCGGTGTGCGCCGTTTCAATTTATGGCTATCGGCTTTCGCTACGAGTGCTGGTGTGCCAACGTGGAACCTGGTCTGACAGGAAATCGCTTTGCACAGGCCGCTTGTGATTTCGTATGTAATGATGCGTCAGGAAAAAGTTGTGGTGGGACGGGTTTGTACGCCGTTTACCAGCTGGGTGCCCAATTAGATTTTGAAAAGACCAACAGCTATCAATTAGTGCTCCAAGTATCCGATGATGGACTTCCTGTACTTTCTTCTGTGTTCAGCGTCACGGTTGATGTAATTGACGTCAATGAGACCCCCAAAATAATCACCTCGGACGTCTTTGTTTATGAAGGTTCGACTGGAAACGTGAATTTGTCAAAAGCTCTATTCTTGACAGATGAAGACACTAAAGATGTCTTAAAAATATCACTCGTCTGGTGTGATGAGCCTCTATGCCCTTTCAGCTATGATTGCGATAACAACCAATTGATTGTTAACCGTGCACTTGATTATGAGCAAAACGATGCCGTTATGCTAACCTTTCGAGTGCATGATGACGCAGCACTTTTTTCTGACGCCAACTTGACTGTTTTTGTTCGCGATGTCAACGAACATCCTATCATTCTTGATGCTGCTTTAGCGCTGCGAGAAAACGTGCCAACTGGTACCCTCGTTGGGCTACCGATTGCGGCGTATGACCCGGATTTAGGAAGCAGCGTCGAATTTGCGATTGTTTCTCAAAGTCTGGATGGCTGCTTGCAAATTGGAACTCTGTCAGGACAATTATTAGTTGCAACGATGTCTTGCTTTGATTATGAATCTTTTCTCTTCGACAATTTAAAACCTCCTGGTTTTAGCGTGATACCTCTACAAGATGCAGACCAAATAAATTTGGTTGGGGTTAATTTTAATGGTGAGCTGAAAAACCAAGCTTTAGTAGGGTTGCTTTACACAATTAGTGCAGAAGGACATTCTGTGCTTGGATCAATACTACAAGAGCTCGTACTCGTCCGTGTCGATTTGTCAGGGAATACATATTATGCTGTTAATGCTACCGTCTCAACCCTGGTTAATAATGAAACCATTACTGGAGAACTGTTTTTTGAGCTTCCACGATTACGTATCGGTCATGTTCTTGATGTGAAGATGAAGAACACAGAGTGGAAGCGAATATTTGACGTAGCAAAGCTCAAGAAATCTTTTCACGTGACAGTTGCAGTCCATGACTCGTCAGCAGAAGCACTATCTGCAACGAGAATGTTTAGCATTGATTTGTTAAATCAGAAAGAACCCCCCATTTTACTATCTAATGCCATTGCTATAGTAGCTGAAAACGTTCCAATGGGCTCTTCGATAGAACCACAGGTTCAGACTCTATTTGATGATGTTGATGGATTAGCTAGCTTACATTTTTCACTGTTAGCCCAAAGTATTCCTGGCTCATTCTATTTTGATTATTCCACCGGCCATTTGCATGTAGGAGGCCGAGGAATAAATTTTGAGGAGAGATCGGAACATGTTCTTAACGTCACAATTTCGGATGAAGGTTTTGTCACAAGCTATAGTATTACAGTGTCAGTGCAGGATACGAATGACCCGCCACGTGTCACATGCCCACACCTCCATGTTAGTGAAAGTGCACCTGCTAATACACAGCTTTCAGAGGCTGTGATTGCCATTGACGAAGATGTGCACGATATAGATTTCACTTATCGTGTTCAGAACGAAACAGAAATGTTTTCGATTAGCAGTGATGGAAAACTGATTTTGAAACAGCCTGTGGACTATGAATCACTACAATTCTATTATGTTGCGGTAAAAGCTACTGACCGCGGTGGGTTAAGTGGTGAGTGTGTCACCTTAGTAGAGATTGTCGATGTGAACGAGCCTCCAGCTGGTCCATTATTTTACAATGGCTCGATATACCAAAGTGCACCTCTGGATCACCGCGTCTTAAAATTGGGATTACACGACCCGGAAGGAAAATCACTCAGGCTCACCGTTGTAAATTCAACGGTTGGTCAGGACAATTTTGATATATCAGACGATCAAATTCTTTACGTGAAAAATACTGCGAGACTTTTGGAGGCTGCCCAAGTCATGCTATCAATTGATGTGAGCGATGGATATAATAGTGTGCAAGTTATCTGCTTAGTGTCATTTTTGGCTAGCCCCCCGCCAATTATATGTTTGGAAAAAGTTCAAAGCTTTTCGGTATCTGAAAATGCTGTGGATACCACTGTTGGTCAGGTTTTTGTCCTGCCGTCGTCGTACTTGCTGGTCAGATATGTACTTCAGGACTCGTCGGTACCATTTATTCTAAATAGCAACACTGGTGAGGTCAAAATTAATAACCTTCTGTCTCTTGACTACGAGCGCCAAACCAGCTATTCTCTGATTGCTGCTATCTACTATTCTGCATCGGACTATATTGTCTGTCCATTTGTAGTACGGGTACTTGATGTCAATGAACCTCCTTCTTGCTTTATGCAGTCGGCGTATATTCGCGAGAATCAGGCTGGATACGATCAGTGGATACTACAGAGAGAAGTTGTAGACCCTGAAGGTGGTTTTTTGACATACTTTTTGAGCCCAAACAGTATCTTTTATTCAAACGAAAGTGGCGCTCTGTTTGCTAGCGATCTATCACTAATTAACTATGAAGCTCAACCGTATCATGCAATATTCATGTCCGTAAGTGACAGGGTCAACACTGTGCTATGCCCCATCAGCATTTACGTTGTTGATGCGAATGACTGTCCCTCCATCATGAGTGCAACGCGATATATATTTGAAAATAGTGTGATCGGTGCGACGGTTAATTCTGCTATCGTAGTTCGTGATGAAGACTATAATTTTCAAGATCATGGACGAATTACGTTCTCAGTCGACTCTGATATCTTTGCGATTGGAACTTCAACAGGGGTACTAGAGGTAGCCAACTCATCCAAACTAAATTACGAAGTACTCAACCAAGTTGATTTAATTGTTTACGCGATGGATGATGCAGTGGAGCCTTGCACATCAAATGCTACTGTTACAGTGATAATTATCAACGTAAATGAGCCACCCACAATTGTGGCTTGCCAATTTGGCTCGGTCCTTGAGTATACAAGAGCACTATCACAAGACCCATCGGTTGCGGTCCTGAATGTAACAGCGTACGACTCGGACAAAGACGATAAGCTTTTGTTTTCCCTAATCTCGAATTCTGCAAGTCATCTCTTTCGTATAGATGTTGGAACTGGACAAATTTATGTAACAGATACGATGGCGTTTGACTTTGAGACGCAAAGCGCGTATTATCTTGACGTGAAAGTGACAGATGTGGGCGAACTTATCGACACTCAGCAAGTAGAAATACGTGTTATCGACACAAATGAAGCTCCTACTTTCGAACTATATAGCGGGTCTGTTTCTGAAAATAGCCCCGAGAATACTGCAATTTTAAGTCCTTCGGACACGATTGCTATTGATCCAGAAAATGACAATGTCATGTACCATATTGATGCAGCCACAACTTTACCTTTTGGATTTAAAGACAATCAACTCGTAGTTTCTCGTGCTCAGCTAGATTACGAAACAAGATCTCAATATACCATCATAATACATGCTTGTGATTCAAGAAATGCATGCTCTGATGCTAGCTTTATTATCAGGGTTGAAGATGTGAACGAGCCGCCTATTATCTTTCCAACACAAGCCAGTATTAATGAGAATGCTATCGAAAATGCGCTGGTGGGCTCCCCAGTGCTAGCATCAGATCCTGATATCGGACAGCATCTCCTCTTTACAATTGCAAACGGAAACTCGCATGACCTTTTCGGAATTCAGCCCTGTAACGGACAAATATATGTTAAGCGCTCAAACTCAATTGATTTTGAACGATCGTCAGCCTACCAAATTGTCATTGTTGTAAGCGACAGTGGCTTACCGTCAATGAATTCATCAGCTACAATAACAATCAAAATTTTGGACACGAATGAAGCACCAGTGGTTACAGCCGACTATGTCATTAAGGTTGAAACTAAAAATGTGAGCGCTGAGTCCACCAATATTCGAACCGGATCAAATATTGCAGCGATCATTCGATCTGCTGACCAATCAACTGGGTTTTGTAGCAGTATTATTGAAAGCCTGACAAGAATCTCTAATCAAGCGGTTTGTTTCGGTGGGCTTCCAGGAGAATTCGGTGCAATAATTGAGTTTAAATTTCTCTTACGCATAAAGTCCGTTGTAACTTTCCGAATTTTGGCTGGGGTTGCAATAAACGCCATATTCTTAATCGACAACCTTCCTCACCCATCCCAATCTCGTTTCCGTCCTGGCTTTGATATGCAATATTGCGATGAGTTTTTGGCTGGAGAACTACATCGCGGAATTCACAGTGTAGTGATTTACATTTATTCATCATCAGATAATCCCATTTCAGTCGAGCTAAAGATAAACTTAGACAGCTGGATGCCAGTTTCTGTTCACAGTTTTGATGGCTTGGTCGAAGAAGTGGTTGAGCGATCAATTTATGAAAATAGCGCACCTGGTACGGCGATAGAGAATGCTGTTCAAGCGATCGACGAAGACGTCGACTCAAAACTCTATTATGCTATTATTGAGCAAGAATCACCGGGTTTTTTTATCATTGACAATGAAACGGGCCAACTATTTTATAACTTCAACTTAAGTCAGACATTGGATTTCGAGACCAAAGCCACATACCGATTGCTACTTCAGGTCACTGACCTTGAATTAACAACTATAGAATGGATACTCATAAATGTAGTGGATGTAAACGAGCCTCCCGTTCTGTCAAGTCCTCAAGTGTTTTCTGTGACAGAAAATTCAGAGGCTTATGTTTCAATCGGCACTCCTCTATCTCCGATGGATCCTGAAAGAGTTATTGGAAATTTCACTTTTCTCATCATCTCAACAAATGAGCTAACTCGTGTTCCGTTTGAACTCTCTCCATATGGGCAGTTCTTTGTTGCAGCTAATGGTGATTTTGACTTCGAAACACGGGCTCAGTACCATCTGCAAGTAATAATTACTGATTCTGACAGTCTGTCAGTAACCGTTAAGGTAATTATTAATGTCATAGACGTCAATGAACCTCCAACAGCATCCGTCACAGTATCTCCACTAATGGAGAATTCGCCGCAAGGAACGATTGTTGCCCTCGTACAAGCAGCCGATCCTGAAAATGATACACTTTTCTTTACTTACGCCTCTACTTTTGCTGATGATATTAACAGTACTGCTTTTCGAATTGTCCATATATCATCGTCTAGCGCTCAAATTGAAGTGAGAAATGCTCAAGTCAATTTCGAGCAACAACGAAGCTTTGTGATGTCTGTTAATGTGATGGATACAAGTGAAAATAGTCTTTCGGTTTCCCTGACCTTTTTGGTGGCTGTAATCGATGTGAACGAGCCGCCGCAAATTGTCACTGAATCTCCATTTTACATGAGCATTCCAGAAAATAGTCCAAATGGCTCATTTATTGGTACTTCTTTAAACAAATATTTCTTAGACCAAGACATCGGTGACAGCATTGCGTTGAAGTTATTGTCTTCATTTCCTGTGCACGAAGCTTTAACCGTTGCCCAAACGGGTCAAATATCAGTTCAAGACTCTAGCCTTTTAGATTATGAATCGCAAAGAGTCATTCAGCTCTCATGCCAGGCATCCGATAATGGCGGAAACAAGATTGGATTCTTGGTTTATGTCGAAATCACCAATGTGAACGAAACCCCATATTTTACTGAGACGGTGATTCAGATCAACATTCCTGATTCATCAGCTCTCGGTACCGAAGTATTTCATGCAAGCGCGCTGGATCCTGATAATAATGGTGTTGATTTGCGATACAAAATGGTCAGCGACACTTCCACACAAATTTTTTTTTTGAGTGATATGGGCGTGCTCACAACCACGCGGAAACTTGAGGCAATGGAAAAGTTCAATATTTCTGTAGATGCCATTGATACGTTTGGTAGTGGACTGCATTCACAAACAAACCAGCTTTTGATGATATCGGTAAGCGGTATCAACTCGCCCCCAGTTCTCGACGATTTTGTGTTTCACGTTCCAGAGAATGTTGAAATTGGGACCCGATTTGGGCAGGTTTGGGGTTTTGACTCATACCCCGGAAGCGTTTTGTCCTTTTCTACTGTACCTAAAACAGATAGAATTGGTTTTCGCCATGTCAGCAGAAATACTTCAGACGTTTACATTTGGGCACCAGCATTAAACTTTGAGGCTGAGCCGCTAATCACTTTCATTCTTTGCGCAACGGATGATGGAGCAAGAAATGATTACATCGCAGTGATGAAGAGCTGTGCAAATCTCACTTTATATGTCGATGACGTAAATGAGCCCCCTAAGTTTGATCCTTTGGCTCAGACAGCACGAGTAGTTACTGAGATTGCGCAACTGGACGAAGGCATTGATGGTAACCTTCACTTTATGGCTTCTGGGGGCAAGTTTTTCGGCAATATTTCTCATGACCTTCTCATTGATGGGCACTATGACTTTGTGTTTGGAGATTTAGACTTCAGCGCGGCCATGAGTGTGCGCACCACGTCAAATGGAGGAAACATATTGCATCTTCGTGGGTTCACAGATAATGATCATTTCGATGTTTCAATCGACACCAGTGGAAGAGTTAAAGTTACCAGCAGCTCCTTTACTGCACTAGGGAGTCATGATTTGACGGACGGTAATTGGCATTATGTAGCTATCGTTTCAACTGTTAGTGACCATTATCTCAGAATTTACGTTGACGGCCGTCTTGATACTACCAGTAATGCATTTTTGAAGGCACCAGTTATCGCACAGCATGCATACTTGTCGTCGCCTACTGCAATGTTCATGGGGTGGATTTCACGATTCCATTATTTTTCTGGTGCAATATCTTACGCTCAAGTTCAAGAGCTCATGTCCTACTCAGGTAAAATAATCATATTGTCTTCTTACAGATTTGTAGATTTTATGTTATTCTTTAGTGCCTACTTTCTATAGTATTGCGAATTTGAATCGCTATTCGGCAAGCCAATACTGTACCAGTCAAAGCTTGCGTCTGTGTGACTTAATGGATTTGGAGATGGTCTGCGTTCATTCTCAAGATGAGCATGCAACGTTCCCGTCAGCAAGCCAAGGATCGATAACGGTCCCTGCTTGCTCTAACAAAGCTACAAATGCAGAGCAAAATGCAGGCAACGCCACGTTTGCATGCTGTTCAAAATGTATGTTGTATCAAGGCGTAATTTTTAGTGATTGCTAGTCGTTAATAGTGATCGTGTTGTAGATTCCGACAGCAAACTTATCGGCACTTTAACGCGTCCAATTCTTAGGACGGATGCTCTGTCAGCAAGTAGCTTTCTTTACAACAGCGAGCGTCATGGTTATGGCTATGAAGGGCTCAATGTTGTCCGTAGCGACAATGTCAATGGGTCGTGGTGTCCTCAATCGACATTTTCTTCAGAATGGCTTCAGATTGACTTTCCGAAGCCGACAATAATCTCTCGTATTGAGCTTTTCTCGGGGAGTGATATCAACAAAAACATTGGATACCTGAAATCGTTCCAAATAGCCTGGCGGCGTTCAAAAAGTGAAGCCTTTGTAAAGCTGAAAGACAAATTAGGCATAGCAATTGAATTCATGGCGTTGAACTCTGGGGCAAATTACTCGGTCACGGCTAATGTAGCACTGCCCAATCTGATTGCTAGTGGGGTACGAGTTTGTCCTATTAGCTGGTTTGGCAGCGCATGTATGCGCCTTGAGTTGTATGGACCTGATGCAGGTATGCTATAGTATATATACAATTTTTTTCTAGCTTTTAGGACAGCTTTCATTATAAATTTTTATCCTGACAGATTTCCCCATACCAAACAATCTGAATGCAATTGATGAAGAAGTAAATCAAATCTTGCGATACCATCTTCGCGAGTCTGAACGACCGTCGGGTGTTCAGATTGATACACAATCAGGGCTGCTATCTGTGCGTCGACGCTGGATAGATTTTGAAATGCAGAGGTCATGGCGGTTTACGGCGGAAGTTTATGACGAGTATGGTCTTAGCGATAGCGTCACAGCTTCAATCGATATTATTGATGCTAACGATGCACCTGGTTCCATTCGAACAAAGTTCACATTGGCAGAAAATGCTGCCGAAGGCTCAATTATTGGGTCATTTGAAATGAAGTCGATCGAAATGACCGAGAAGGTCACAGCTCAAATTATTGATGCTGATTGCCCATTTACGTTCGACCATCTTTCTGGCAGAATGGCAGTTCATGATGCTGCAATATTTGATTTTGAGACTAATAGAGTTGTCCATTGTATTCTTTTGGTCTCGGATGATGCGCTACTTCCACGCTCGACATACAGCCGAATCGCTATACATCTAATCGATGTGAACGATTTACCAGAGATTTTGATCGGGCAACGGGGTTTCATTCGGGAAAATGCCCACAGAGAAGATTTTGTCATGACGATTCAAGCTATTGACTATGATGTCAACCCAACTTGGTCCACATTGCGATTCAGTTTGCTTGATCCAAGCGTGTTTACAATAAATTCGCTGTCAGGAAGTATTACTGTACTCAAGCCCGAAGATCTTGATTTCGAAACCAACTCTGAGCTCACTGTTCAGGTTCAAGTGATGGATGGTGGATTTTTGACGGTACAATCCACCATTTATGTTTCTGTGTTAAACGAAGAAGAGGCTCCGCAAATGCTTGATCTTTACAGTCTTATTGTCCCGGAGAATGCAGCTGTTCCTAGGTCTCTACTTCTTGTCAATGCGACCGATCCCGACGGAATATCTCATGAAAAGTTATCGTACTCGATAGTGGACGATGTGGTAGGATTTACGATTGACGAAATGAGTGGAGAGCTAGTACTTCGTACGACACTGGATTTTGAATTAATGCATCCGTTACGCTTCGTTGTAAAAGTTTCAAAGAGGGGGACTGCATTGCATGTCAACTCAACGATAGTTATTGTGATTGCTGACCTGAATGAGCCCCCTAGTCTATATACTGGGACGCATGTCGAAATATCAGCACCAGAAAATATGATTGAGGGCCAGCCATTTGGATCTGCACTGTCTTCTCATGTCTGGGATCCAGAAAATAACTCGCTTAGCTACGTTCTGGAAGCTTCCGAGTATTCACCACACTTCATGCTTGATCAATGTACTGGACAATTTCGGTCTAAACAACCTCTGGATTTTGAAGCGATGCCAAAAACAATAAGTTTGTTCGTGTTTGTTTATGATTCTAGTAGAGCTCAGCTACGTCTTCCTGTTCTGGTCGCAGTTCTTGACGTTAACGAACGGCCTGTATACCAGCAATCTCAGTATACCTTCGCTGTTGTGGAAAATACTGTTGGCGAAGCCATCGTAGGCGTGATTACTGCATCTGATCCGGATATGAATGATCGAGTGTATTATAAATTTAAAGATGCTTTCGGAGACGGCCCATTTCAGATCCATTCCGCAACAGGCGAGCTGATTGTGTCATCAGCCGCTTTGCTGGATTTCGAAACTCAAAGATTGTATACATTTGCAGTCTGCGCTACAGACGGTCTTCTAGAGACATGTACGGTGGTCTGGATCAACTTGCTTGATATTAATGAGCCACCTGTTTGTCAGTCTGAAGTGCGATTTATTAGTGAAAATAGTCCTGTTGGGACAAAAATTACACCTCCATTTACAAGTATTGACTTTGATACGATGGATCGATCGTCGCATCCATTTTATAATCTAATCGATGAAGAAGGGATTGGTGGCTTTCGATTTGATAATGCATCTCTCATACTACAGGGCTTGTTGTTAGACTTCGAAGCTCGAGATAGCTATAAATTTCAATTTTCGGCCTGTGATGCGGCTAGTTCTTGTAACACTTGCGATCTAACAATTCGTGTTGAAGATATAAATGAACATCCCGAAATGTATATTCAGGAAGTGGAAGTTTTAGAAGGTACTACTGGGGCATTTCACTCGATAAAAGCCTTTGACCCGGATTTAAATCAAACAAGTACCCTCGTATTCGAAATTGTCGATCAGTCTCTTGTAAATCTTTTTAGCGTGGAGCGAAGCAATGGATCAGTCAGCGTCACCCATTCGAAATTACTCGACTATGAGACTCTAGAACTACATCAAGCATGGATCAATGTGCGTGTGACTGATACAGGATTGCCACCTCTGGCTTCAACCGGCCATCTGATATTTAATATTTTAGATATCAACGAGGCACCAACAAGTACTACATTGTTGGATGTAGCGGTCCCAGAAAACGCGGCTGCTGGAAAGTTGATTACCACCTGGCGTGCCCAAGACGAGGACTTTGATCAGCAGCTGTCATACCAAGTGATTAGTGAAGAATACGCTGGTATCATTAGGTTTCGTGGTAATGACAGCCCTGACATTATTTTGAATGCTTCTTTAGACTATGAGAGTCTTTCTTATTATGAAATGACATTGCGCGCATGCGATCCGTACGCGATCTGTACAACAGGCCTTCTTCGAATTACGATCAATGACTGCAATGAACCCCCTTCTTTTCTACATACCGATACTGATAATAAATTTGCAGTAGCTAGACATGCCACACCAGGAACTGTGGTTGGAATTTTGCAGGCAACCGATCCAGATCGTGTGGATATGCTCTCATTTTCTCTCATACCATCCGAAAGCGTGTGGTTATCGGGTTTAGAAGACGGAACGGGAACGTTTATTGTTAATCAACACACTGGTGAACTATCTGTGGCGTCTCAACAAAGCTCTCACCAGCTTCAAACAAATCTTAGCTTTCTGATAACAGTGCAAGTGACTGATTCAAAGCAACTCTCGGTTAATCGCACAATTACCATTGATGTGATAGCAAACAACGCGGCACCTATCTGCCAAAAAGGACTTTTGGTCTACATGGATGAAAATGCCGCTGTTGACACTCCTGTTGGATTACCATTATCTTCTTACGTGACAGATGCGGACGCTGGAACTACTTTTGTGTTCGCACTTCAACATCCATTTCTCTCCGTGAATCCAAGTAGTGGCCAGCTATTCGTGACTAGTCAAACCAATCTAGACTTCGAATCTACTATTTCTAATTCAACGACAGTTAGTGTTGCTGTAGAGGACGATGGTGCATACCACAACAATCTTGACACCCTGGCCACGAGTTGCATCGTATCAATTACAGCGATAGATGTCAATGAAGCCCCAAAAACCACCAACCTTTCTCTTGCTATAACAGAAGGTGGGTAAAGCGATATATTTTTTGTTTATAATGCGATATTCACCTATATTATAAACAGGTATTAATTCTAATCCATCACGCGTTCTAAGAACCGAAATGATCTATTTTCCTATCATTTCCTCACAAGATGACTATATGTTCGCCAAGAATATGGCTGGCGATTACACAATAGACGTATCTCGAAAAACCCTTCCAATGGGTTACGACTCATTCAGTCAAATACCAGTCGGAATTATTCTCCGATTTCAAAGTGTTCATCTTGCGGACGTGATTGATCATCTTACGCTGGCTCAACTAAAACTTTATGTTCCGTCTGGAAGAATTGGTCCGTTTTCAATGCAAATACGAGTCATCAACGAGTCTAGGCTCATCAACGAGTTTAGACATCAATGGGTATCACATCAAGAGTTAAAAGACTTGGGCATGCCGGCTTTCGTTGATTGGACGTTGGAAAAAGAGGTATCATCAACTACAATTTGGTCTCCAAGTATTATGTCGCTCCTCGTTGAGGTGACGCCTTACATCAAAAGCAACTCTGAGGTGGTCATCCTCATGACAGGAGGGGGAATCGGAGAGGTGAGCACCTTCGATAGCGAAGCCAGTTCGGCTGCAGTTTTGGAAGTGACAGTAGCTCAAGGTAAATGTATGCTTCTTAATGAAATTGAAAGCTATCATCAACTAAAGTTTTAATGATTGATCACGCCCATGAAGTATCAAAAGTATCTGTTACAGGTGGAAACGTGCCCTTTGCTGATCCGGATGCCGAGGACAGGGTTCAATTTGCCGTCATAAAACAAAACTCGCAATTTTCTGTGTTTTTTGTCGACAAGAGTACCGGTGCAATCGCTGCGAATATCGAATTGTTAGACTATGAGATACAAAACAGCTATGAGCTTTTGATTTCGATTACAGATCAGGAGGGGCTTGCTGACGTGTCTACAGTCCATATTGCCATTGTGGATATAAATGAGCCGCCAGTTGTCAGCGAAACAATTTGCTATGTTGCAGAAAACACACCTGTAGGGTCACCGGTTTGCTCTATTCACGCCTTCGATCCGGACAGCTCACAGCAAGCGAACGGTAAACTAGTGTACTATCTTTTACAATCGAGCAATGATCAGGATAGAACGTTTCAGATCGACTCAGCTTCAGGGATGCTGATTATCATAGATTCAACTCTTTTAAATTTTGAAGATAGGCAGTCCTTAGTCACAACAATTTGCGCAAAAGATGGAGGGACTCCAGCACTCAGCGGATGTGCCACTGTGACAATACATATTACAGATGTCAATGATGCACCACAAACGATTACCCCTCATATGTGCGAAATGGATGAAGTTTTGAATGATTTGACGAATGAACAACTGAGCCGACTAGTTGGCACGGCTGTTTGTAATCTCACAATTTTCGATGAGGACTCTGGCAGTGAAAATCCGTACTGGACGAGTCACGTTTGGCAGATGGCTGAAGCGGATATTGGCTGCCCATTTAATCTCAGTTCCCGTGGTCAAATTGTGGTTGTGAATCCTCGTCGCGTCGATTATGAAGAACAGACGAAATGGTCTCTTCTTGTACAAGCAATGGATTTGGGGGGCCTTTCAAGCCCTCCGCAAAAAATCGAAGTGCTTATTTCTGATAGGAACGAAAAGCCGCAGGTAATGGCAACAACGTTTTACATCGATGAGAATTCGCTTGTTGGATCCCTAGCAATGGGAAATATCACAATATTTGACCCGGATATGCAACACAGTGGTCACCCTGACACTGTTTTTCTCAGCTTGGTGAGCGAAATTGATGTGTTTGATATTGTTGACAACAGAATACAAATGGAGCACGGTCGATTGGACTTTGAAACTAAGTCTTTGTACGTAGTTTCAGTTGTGGCAACAGATGTTTTAGGAGCAAAAAGTAATGTTCAAAACATTGATGTCGTGGTAAATGATGTCAATGAAGCACCGACTATCGACCCCATGCAGGTTTCTATCCCTGAAAACCAACCCATGTATACGAAAATCATGCCAGCTGTCAAAGCTAACGATCCTGATGGCGATAATGTTATTTTCACTTTGGTTTCGGAATCTTCAATTGGGGTCGGCACGCGAACTACAAGCGCATTTGGGATTAATGCGATAGATGGTGTTTTATTCCAGCAACTAGATCATCTAAACTTTGAAGATATCAAGGAATATGATTTGATCGTGAAGGCACGAGATAGCGCAGGACTATTTACACTTACCAATATATCAATTAAAATCACCGACGTTAATGAAGCACCTAGCATTCACCATCAACTTGTCAGTATCCGTGAAGATACAAGTGTTGGCACGTCAGTTGGACAAGCATTCGCTACGCTTTCATCAGATCCAGATTTACAGAATGGACTCGAAATGTTAACATTTACCCTGATCAATGCAAGCCAATATCCCTTTTCAGTTGACTCAAAATCGGGTAAAGGCACGATCACCGGACCTTTGAATTTCGAAATAATTTCAATATATAATTTGTGCGTGCGCGTCACTGACTTAAACGGTCTATGGGATGAAGCAGATTTCGTCATAAGGGTCATCGATGTCAATGAGCCTCCAATTTTTCCTGGCCCTTTCATTATATCCGCGCGAGAAGATTTGGTACCAGGATCTTTGCTCGGTGAAGCTGTCGTAGCCTTTGATTTGGATGCAGGGTCAAAGGTTCAGTACGATCTCGAAGGAACAAGTGACATTGTATCCGCTTGCATCACAATCAATCAATCTACTGGGCAGCTTGCTTTAAAAAGTATTTGCTTTCTAGATCATGAAGCGTCTACGGGAAATACTTTGCTGGTAGTTGTACGAGCTCTAGACGGAGAGAATACGGTATCGACAAATGGGACAATCTACATTACTGACGTTAACGAAGCGCCGGTGTTTGTAGCCTCGAAACCAGTATCTCTTAGCGAAAATTCTCCTGACGGAACAGTGGTCATTTTTGTCGTGGTCCAGGACCCTGACATCTACGAGAATCACGATTTCTTTATATGTGAGCAAAGCAACTTAGACACGTTTCGAATTCATGCGACAGGAGTAAATACTGCAAAAATTGTAGTAAATGACTCCAGTGTGCTAGACTTTGAAAAGCACCCCGAGCTTTGGGTAGATGCGTGTGTCAGAGATAAAGGACAGTTGGAGGCAAGGGCGCGGTATACTATTAGACTTGCCAATGTGTTTGAGCCACCATACTTTGTCCAGGACACTGTTCAATTTACGACTCAGGAGTCGATTTCTGTTGGGACCGATATTGGATCGACGCTATCTCGCTATATTATTGACGAAGAGAACTTGATATCCATCGCGGAGTGTTCAAATGAAATGATCATTAAAAACAGCACGTGTGGGCGTCGAGTCTCTTTTTCCTTGAGTGACTGTGGTCGGATGTTTTTGAGTGATGGTGAGTTGGACTACGAAACTATGCCCACGTGTGTGGTATATGTTTCTCTTCCTGCTGCAGAACTATACAATACGAACACCTCAAATTTGCCTCTCGCAAGTTCAATTAGTGTGATTATAACAGTTACTGACGTAAATGAACCCCCCACATTTCATCAGAAACTGTATTATTTCGGACTTGCTGAATCTAGTGTCAATGGTACATTAGTTGGAGTTTTGACTGCCACCGATAACGACGTTGGTGATATCCCTTTGTTTCAATTAATTAAGGCTGAAGTTGGATATAACGGGGTCTTTGCATTGTCTTTGACGGGTGAACTCACATTAGCAGGCTTGCTGGACTTTGAAACAAAACAATCTTATCAAGTCAACGTTCGCGCACTTGATCGCCAGGAAGCTTGCGATGATGCGAGCATCATAATCTCTATCACGGACAGCAATGAGCCTCCAGTATTTCAAAGGATTCAATACATTTTTAGTATCGTGGAAAATGCTCCTATTTTAGGTGTTCTTGGAGAAGTCATTGCAGTCAGCCGCGACATCTATCAAAACCAGACACTTATTTATAGTATTATCAGTGGTAATGATCTAGGTGCCTTTGCCGTGCTTTCGGTTGTAGGCAATGGAAAAATTGTGGTGCAGTCGCAACAAGCTCTTGATTACGAGCGGCAAAAATCGTATCACTTGCTAGTAGAAGCAACCAATAATATACAAGGAGGATTGCGGGCATATGCTACTGTTATGGTGAGCATTCTCGATGTCAACGAATCTCCACAGGTATATTCCTCTAAAGCATATATACCTGAAGACGCTGTTATTACAACTGCAGCATGCACATCGGCTGCATTAGATGAGATATTTACAGGACGATTGTATGCGTTAGATCCCGATGAAAACGATACGCTGGTGTTTGCTATTGCAGATTCGACAGATACTTTTACCATCGATGCTACCTCTGGAGCTATTTTTTCGAAGCGAGTGCTGAACTACGAATATGAATCATACTACTCGATTTCTATTACAGCAACAGATGGCAAAAAATTGTCTGCTAAAGCCACGATAGATGTTATCGTACTCGATCGCAATGACGCTCCGATAATGATCTCGACATTGATCTCACTCGCCGAGAACTATCGCCATGACACTAGCATTGGTTATATTCAAGTTGCTGATGAGGATTACAACCAGCAGCATTTTTTTTCGTCCATTGCAACCACATTAATTTTAAAAGACAACTCAACCGAAACGAGATATATCAATGATGTGGTTCATATCGGATTACTTACAGGTGAGATTCGAATTTTAAATGAGAGTGTATTTGACTACGAGGTGGTTCGTCAGGTAGTGATCGACGTTTGTGTGTGTGATGACGGAAATCCAATTTTAAAAACCATTGCTTCCGTAACAATTGATCTGATAGACAAAAACGAGCCATGCACTTTTGAAAATGCCATTTTGACCCTTTTAGTTGCAGAAAACGCCGTTGGTTTGGCCGGAAAAGTGCGAGCGATTGATATTGACACTACTACATTGTCAAGCTGGGGCTCCCTGAGTTACTTCATATTAGAAAGTGACATATCAAATAAAGTTGTGTCACTGTCTTCCTCTGGTGACGTAATGGTAAAAACTGCTTTAGATTTTGAAACTCAACACACGTATTTATTTCAAGTTACTGCAGTTGATGGTGGTGGACTTAATTGCTCTTGTGGATTGCAATTACTGATAGAGGACCGCAATGAACCTCCTACGATCCAAGCTAGACATTATTGGGTACAAGAGTCGGTGAATGAAGGATTGGCCTGGGTGCGGGCTGATGATGGAAGTCACGCTCGTATTGAGGTTTGGGATCCTGAAAATGACTCAGTGATCTTACAACAAAATTCATCGGACCGTTTCTCGATTTCCGAAGATGGATGGCTCCTTCTAGTGAAGCCTGTCAATTTTGAAACAAAAGCGTCTTACGACTTTATCGTTACTGCCACTGACACGTACGGACTCCAGACGAGTGCGATTATTCATGTGGATATTGTAGACATAAACGAGCCTCCGATATTTACATCACAACAATCAATAACAATTGCTGAAGATGCGATGAGGGGAGACATCTTGGGGGTGATAAGAGCTTATGATCCCGATGCATTTGACGTGGTTACTTATCAACTTGAGTCAGCAATTGATCGCTACGGCGACTCAGTAGATGTTTTCATGATTAGTTCATGTAATGGAGAACTTCGTCTTAGCAAGTCAAACGCTCTCGATTTTGAGCAAAATGACTATTTCGTTCTTCTTATCAGTGCAATTGATCGCGCGGGCTTAAAAACACATTCTGAACCCATAATTATAAGAGTTATTGATGTCAACGAGGCACCGCAGTGCCGAGATGCAACACTATCCATCTATGAAAATGCTACTGCTGATGATTTATTTGGCCCAGTCGAGTGGATTGACTCAGATTCTTCAAGCATCAATAATATCACATTATTTGAAGTAGTCAGTGACGCAAATCATATTGGCTATAGATTGTTTGAGGTTCGGCAGAGCGATGGTCAATACTGGATTAGCTTGCGAGGTTCCGCTAAAATTGATTTTGAGTTGCTTGATCATTTTACTGTACGCGTCAAGATTGGTGACAGCTTTAGCTCTAGTAACGCCACAACCGCTGTTCACTCTTTGTCTTCAACATGCGTGATCAGCGTGGATGTGATAGATGTTAACGAGCCTCCCAACGTCGCAAGCTCGATCAAGAGAGAAATTTATGAAAACTCCGTGATCTATGCTTGTGTGGGGCAACCGATCGAAGCTAAAGACTCGGATGCACATGATGCTTTGCGCTATTACATTTTGATGGGTCAAGACGGCCGCGTTCCATTCACGATCGATATTAATACAGGCCAACTTCGTGTTTCAGGAGAAATTAACCACGAAAATCAAGCGCTCTATAATATAAATGTTGCGGTTGAAGATTCGGCGCTTAACCTGGTCACAACGTCAATAGAAATTTCGATCATAGACGTCAACGAGCGACCTCAGCTTTCTCGAAATTGCTTTGTTAGTGATGATGGTACAGCAGAATATCGCTTTGAAGACAATAAGGATGTTTGCTTTGAAGCAGATGAAGATTTAGGAATTGAATCTCTGTTGTATCGCTTTGAAGCATTCGACCCTGACAATAATCAGCGCCTTTTCTATTCGGTGAGCGAGTCGTCAAATCGCTTTGTTCGAGTTGCTCAAAATGATGATCGAACATGTGAGCTTATTTACACTCGAGCGATTTTTGACTACGAAACCTTGCATGTGCACCGGCTTCAAATGACTGTTACAGACACAGGCGAAGGATTTCTTTACGATACCGTAACTGTCTTCATTTTTGTTGCGAATGTCAACGAACCTCCAGTCCTTTTAGATGCTTCAGCGCGAAATCTCGTTTATGCAGAAAATGCTGTGCAGGGGCAATTACTTGGACACTTGCGTGGCATGGATCCAGAGGGAGATTCGTTCATGTTTTCGTATGTAGAGTCTAGTCCGATCTCAGCGGCGGTAGAAATTCTTCAAGATGGTCAAATTTATACAACTGGTGCTTCAATTGACTTTGAAGTGCTGTCCCAGATAAATTCCATTTGGGTTGAGCCGGTGCTGACAATCCGAGGCTCAATTTCTTCACTTGATGATAAGTCAACTTCATTTGTGTTGACGTTGTTGGTGATCGATGTCTCGGAACCACCTTTATTTACCTCATCACGGTACACATTTGCAGCACACGAAGTAGCCACCGCAGGTACTCTTGTTGGCCTTCTTCAGGCTACGGATCCGGATTTTAACGAGACACAACGATTCATGTGGGACTCGACCGATGCAGAAACTAAAGACAATGAAAATTTGTTTAGTATCGATGGCAAGTCTGGAATCATTTCGCTGCTTAAAGAAGGCAGTTTTGATTCGAAAAGTGCACCGGTGTACTCTTTTAAAGCTCTCGTTGTCGACTCCACGGGTTTGATAGATTCCTCGACAGTAATCATATCGATTGTTAACAACAATGAGCCACCACATTGTCCTATACTTCAATGTTGGGTTCTTGAAAATTCTGTGCAAATTCTAAAAGGACTGCCCGGCACTCAAGGATTGTGTCAAGTGAAAGTACAAGATTTGGATCTAAGTCAAGAGCACACATTCCAATTATTACCCACTCCGGATAGTCAAAGATTTTCGATTAATTATGCATCTGGAGTAGTCAGCTATTCCCCGGGTCTTCAAAGCTACGCTGATTTTGAAGTGCAAAGCGTATACCACATTCAATACCAAGCAAATGATGTCCCAAAATTTGGTCTATCATTAGCTTGTAGCAACGTCATCGCGATCACTGTGGTGGACGTAAATGAAGCACCAATTATTCTAGGGAAGGAATTGCTTACTGTTGCGGAAATGAGTGCGATAGGAACGATTGTGGGTATTGTTGACGCAATCGATACTGACGTGGGTGATGTATTGACGTTTAGGCTGCAAGAATCTTCGTATTCTTCGCTTATACTCGAAGCAGACACTGGAATTCTTAGGGTGGCTAACAACTCAATGCTTAACTTTGAGTACACGCCAGCGGTAAATGCTAGCGTCTTAGTCACTGATCGCGAGGGACTTCAAGCTAAGGCAACACTAGTAGTTGCTGTAAGAGATGCAAATGATCCCCCCATGCTGCAAACAACGAACTTCACAGCAAACGAGTTCGCCACGTCCATGAGCAGTGAGCTGAGTGGATTTCGACACTTGGAATTACTGGGATCAGTACATTGCTTTGACGAGGATAAAAATGACGATGTATCTTTCACTATATTAAACAATACATCCGTATTTGTGATCGAAGCAAATAGCGGATTGTTGTACGCCGAAACCAAATTTCTAGATTTTGAGACAAAACGCGCATATGAATTGATCATTCAGTGCTCAGATGGACAAGCATCCACTGTATCAACGAATTGGATATTTGTAAGAAACATTAATGAAGCGCCGATCGTATCTAGGCAAGAATACCATGTCGATGAAAACTTGCCGAAAGGAACGAAAGTTGGCTTCATATCGGTTTCTGATGCTGAGCATGATGATGAGAATTACCTATCGCTAAAAGATATGGCAGCAAACAGCGCTCACAAGGTGTCCAGATTACGGGAGAGAACGCCTGTATTTTTTGATGATTCGGACAGTAAGTGGATAAACATTCCCGACATGCTCGTCGATGCATTCTTTATTTCCACCCCAACCTCGGTGCCTTTATCAACAGGAACTCTATGTCTGGCAAGCCAAGGCCAAATATTTGTGCTAATCGGAGACGATTCAAGCGCGACTCCAAATTGGATGACGCAGAATTCGTTCGTCAAATTGGATGGACAACATATTACCGCACAAAGTGAAACTAATGCAACAAATTATGAAGTTTATATTCGGGAACACGTTGGCGACTTTGTTGTGCCTCGTAGGTCTTCGTCCGATACGTCGTGGGTTTTTGGCGCGTATCCTTCTTCCTTCGCTTATTTTCTTACCGGACCTAGAAGTCACTGGTTTCATGTCACAACCTCTGGGGAAGTTCTGCTGACAATAAATGAAATCGACTTTGAATCACTAACAGATGGTGATCAGCCACTTCAAATTGGTGTTAATGTTGTGGACAGTGGACATTTAATGGGGGAAGCTACATTTTCTGTCTTTGTCGATGACATAAATGAGGCGCCTATCGTCAATAGCTGCTGCTTTGAAATCAACGAGAATCCAACGTCGGGTACGATGATTGGTGAACTCATAGCGAGTGACCCTGACAATTTAGATCAGATCAGCTTTGAGCTGGCCTTTCCATCCGCTGATGTATCAGTAACTTCGAGCGGCAACTTGTCTGTGCACAATGCCTCATTATTTAATTTCGAGCGGAATTCTGTGGTGAGTATTCGAGTACGCGCCACTGATCAAGGTGGTTTGTCTCACGAGCGCGAAATCCAGATCAACGTCTTGGATGTAAATGAGGCACCAATTTTTCAGTACCCGTCATACTTAATGTTTGTCCCGGAAAACTCCCCACTCGATTTAAGCTTTGGAATACCCATTCGTGCAACAGACCCAGATCACGGACATACGGAACGTTTACGTTTCGAAATAGTGTCTAAATTTGTAGAAGAATTACCTTTTCGGCTTGAAAGTTGTTCAGGTCAACTTGCTGTCCGATGGGATAACTTAGACTTTGAGAAAACAGATCAATATTCGTTTAACGTCCGCGTTGTAGATTCTGGGTATCCCATAAGTCTAGAATCACAAGTGAAAGTAGTGATAAAATTACTAAACGTTAATGAGGCTCCAAACTTTGCTGAGTTCGGAACGCTGACAATTCTGGAGAATGCTCCCATCGGAATCTTAATCGGCCAAATTGTTGTTGTAGATCCAGACCAATCTTCAGTGTTGACATTTCGTACCAATGCTAGCGAATTTGTATCGATAACAGATAGTGGCCAGATTTTCGCTGCAGTATCTTTCGACCACGAAGTTATGTCTTCTCTCTACGTTTTGGTTCATGTGGAAGACAATGGTGTGATGTGTGACCTCAACCTGGACCCATCTGACTGCAAGGTATTATCAGCCTCTAAAGTTGTAGTTGTAACAGTACAAAATGTAAACGAGCCCCCGTCACTTACCGCTGGTAAATTTGTCATCCAAGAAAATCTATATTCTGGGTCGCTGGTTGGACAACCGATTCGGGTTGTAGACGCTGATGGAGCAGTAGGGAAAGGATCTGGATTCACAATCAAAAGCGGTCTCTCGGCTGGTAATGAAACTGAATTCACAATTCGTGACGATGGTCAATTATTGACGCTTGTCTGCTTGGACTTCGAAAAGAATGCTGAGTATAATATAGTCGTAGCATATTCTGACGGTGAGTTTGTTTCGCATCTTGGCATAAATATCACTGTGCTGGACGAGAATGAGACACCTTCAATTGTCAAGGGTACTACAGGATCCATCCAAGAAAATATGGCGGCTGGTACCACGGTATTGGTAGCTCAGTTTTTTGATCCCGATCGATTCTCATCGAACATTTTCACGCTTGTGGATAGCTACGCACCTTTCACGATTGATCAACATAGTGGTGCTGTGCAGACTACTCGCGTGTTGGACTATGAATCGGATCGTACTAGATTCAATTTGAATTTGAGAATCTGTGATGCAAGCCAGACCACTTTATGCGGAAGCGATTACGTCACTATCATTGTTGACGATGTACCCGAACCACCAACGATGGACGATGTAATTTGCACACAAGTGGAGGGTACAGCTACACTGTTGGACGAACAAAGTGCTACTGGGTGCACTTTCGTGGCTACCGATTCTGATAATGCGTCATGTTCTTTTTATGCTATTAACGATCCTTATTCTCATTATGAGCTTGTATATGACACAGTTATCAATGGAATCTCTTTTGTAAAGGCTCTTAAGCCGACACTGTGCGTGAATGGGCGAGTCGGACTTGCTTGGAATGCATTGTCTTTGCCAGATTACGAGGCGTTATCAAAATATGTGATCAATGTCAAGATTTCGGATGAAACATTTAAAAGAACTGGGCTGTCAATTTATAGCCGAGTAATTGTAAACATTGTCGATGCCAACGATTGCCCCACATTGGCCAAATCATATTTTACACTTCAAGAGCGTCCACAGGCTGGTATGCAAATTGGATATCCACTCCCTGGTAAAGATCAAGATATGGTGGATACTCTACGATATTCAATTGTCATCACAAATGCCACGTCCAATTTAATCGCGGTTAACGAAATGACTGGTCAATTGGTAGTGGCTAGAACACCTGTAGGCAGTGAATTTGTATTTCCTGTACAGTACGACGTGACCGTTTCAGTGACAGACAGCAGTGTTAGTCACTGTTCAACCAATGCAACAATCAAACTATATACAACAAAGTCCAATCTTGCACCGGCATGGCTTAATACGCTACCAATCTCATTTAGTATCAATGAGAATCTCACTGCAAACCAAACTACATTTCCAATTTCTCATTTTGTGAAAGATCCTGATGGCGACGTCATTCAATTTACGTTGCAATCCAAGACTGACATGTACTGTGCAGACACGTTTAGCCTCGGCTTGACGAGTGGGAATATTGAGCTTCGCGTCGGAAAAATTCTGGATTTTGAGCAGAGACAAGCCTATATATGTACAATTGCGGTGTGTGATCCAGCCCAAATGTGTGCTTCGCAAGACGTCACAATTCAAGTCAAAAATGTCAACGAGGCACCAGTATTCAGCGATCGGTCGTATACATTCACGGTGCGAGAAAATGAGATTGAAAATTTCCCACTTCGTCGTTGTGTGAGTGCGACTGATCCCGATGAAGGTGATGACTATGCTCTAACTTATACAACTTCATGCTCAAATACCACCGACTGTTCTCTCTTTTCAATTAGAATTGAAAGGGACAGCAGCCTGGCACAATGTGCCAGAATCCTTGTGAAGTCAAGTTTGAACTATGAGGCTAGACATCGCTACAGCTTCGATCTCGTTGCAAAAGATCCCGCCAATTTAACAGCTATCACAAGTATTGCTATTGAGGTTGAAGACGTTAACGAAGCCCATTATTTTGTGAATTTTCTTTTATCGAAGTCAGTGCTGGAGAATACAGCTGTAGGCTCAGCAATCCTCCAAGTCAACACAACAGATCCAGATATTTATTCAGATTCTTACCATGCGATTCGGTATTCGATAACAGAAGTACTCCCACATGGTCAAAATGTGTTTCAAATCGACACGACAACCGGTGTCTTGGTCTTAAGAGAACTCATTGATTTTGAGGCCATCCAAACATATACGTTGACCATTGAGGCTCGAGATACGAGTGGTATCAACGCCCTGTGGATAACCAGAGACCTCACGATTATAGTAGAAAATGTTGAGGATACAACGATTGAGACATTTGCACTTGTATCTGACAATTCTAATCAATTAAAGACAACAGGTGGTGAAAAATTTATTCTTTTCGGCTTAAATATTGGGTTCAAACAACGAGCTGATAAGTCTGTGATCATAAAGCAGCTCATCGTGAAATATGGAGCTTATGGAACAAGCTCGCCTTACGTTGCAGCAAACTGCTCTTTAGTTGAAGGGAACACCGGTGTTAAATGTACGTCAGCTCCAGGAGCTGGAGGTCATTTATACTGGAACATTACTCTGATTATGAGTGTTCCGAACCTTGGTGACACAACATATCAAGCGTCGTCCTCGATTCCATTAGCATCTTATAGGTCTCCTCTTATCGAATCGGTTGTATGTAACGATGCGCTTCCTACGAACAGCAGCACAGGTGATAACATATTTGTTTATGGTGAGAATTTAGGGTCGACAGAATTGTCAAGCTCAGATGCGCAACCTATCGTTATGTATGGCTCTGACTTTCTTGCGCACAATTGTGCATTGCTTGCTTCTGGTGATTCATTGAGTTCGCGTCAAATCGTTGCCTGTCACAGTGTTATGGGCACTGGCAAAAATCTGTCTTTTACAATTATAGTGGGCGGTCAGGCAAGTGCGACTATCGATAGCAGTTGTCACTATGCGGCTCCTATCATATTTGCAGTCACATTGTTAGATGGAATGCACACACCAGGCAATGACATCGTTATAATAAGTGGAAGTGGATTTGGATGTCAGGGCTGTGCAAACATCACTGCTTTATTCACAAACACCATTCATTCGTTCGCTATAATGGACTGCAAGATCGTATTGGATCATGTTCAGATGCAATGTTCGATTCCACCCGGGGCAGGTAAGGATTTTCGCTGGCATGTTTCCGTTGATAACCAGTTGAGTGCACTGGCGACCGACGTTTATACCTCTTACGACAAACCTGAAGTCTGGGAAATTATGGGTTTTGCGGACGCTTCCACGACAGGAGGAACAATTTTTCAGATCCGTGGTCTCAATTTTGGTCCTGATGCGGCAATATATATGGATCCAGTCGTCGAATATTCATTCGACAATGTGACTTTCTTTCGAGCTGTCAACTGCAAGCGACAATACATTGATCCACAAAATCATAGTTTAATTCAGTGTGTGTCTGTTGCAGGAAGCGGTTCGTTTCACTCATGGCGCGTATCTATAGAGGGCCAATCTTCATCATGGACGACGCAAAATACGTCGTATGCTCGGCCAATCTTGAATAAGGTCTTTCTTCCAGATGGCAAGGAACATATCAGTACCAGTGGCGCCCAGCAAATTGTCATTACAGGCAAAAACTTTGGCGTTTTTAATAAGTCTGTGATTACCCAAGTGACGTATGGTGTCAATGGGAACGAATTTAGTGCAAGCAATTGTTCGATTGTGACGGACCATGAACGCATTGTGTGCACGACTGCTCCTGGTGTGGGTAAACGGCTAGCGTGGATTGTCGCAATTGATGGTTTGACAAGCTCGGTGACCACGATAAGCTATGCCAGACCTTTTATTACTTCGCTTTCCGGGGAAGGAGTAGAAAATGGCCTTGTTCGTGGCGGACAGATCGTCGTGATTCAAGGTGGTAATTTCGGACCTAGTGATGTGACTATTGATATGATTTCTTATGGAAATTCTGGTAGAGACTACCGTGTGACAAGTGTAATCGAACATAATGACTCTACAATCGTTTGTACGACTGTACCTGGTGTTGGTGCGAGTCTCTCTTGGATTGTGTCAGTTGGAGATCAGGAATCGAGTTTATCGACGGTAACGAGCTCATATGCCCATCCGGTAGTAACTTCCTTTTATCCTTCACTAGCCTCAACAGATGGCTCAACTCAAGTCACCATTATTGGAGAGAATTTGGGTACTAATGTTACATTTGCAGCAGCGCGAGTAATATTTTCGCCACCCCAAGCGAGTCTACCTGTGTATCGCATTCCGATAATTGCATTCGGAGACTTTAGTAACAGTAATACTAGTGAATATGTTGCCGTTCGTATTCCAGCAGGCTATGGTCAGGGTGGCTTGCTGCAGATTTTGGTTGGTACTTCAAGTGTTCAGAATAGTTCGGTTTTGACGGTAAGCTACAGGTCCCCGTTGATCGACGCGGTGTACACTAATGAAGGCCCAAGTGATTGTTTGCCTTCGTGCATACATCTCACTATCACAGGTACAAATTTTTACTCCTCTGGTCGTGCAATCGTGTCTAAGTACCCAATTGATATAAGTAACCTGGAAGCTGCGACGTATGAGTCCAACATTACAGTTTCATTGTGGTCTCATGATACTATCATCATACCAAATTATACTGGTAAATTGGGATACGTAACGATCGTGATTGGCAGAGAAAAGATTATTAGCAATTCGGCTCCATTTCGTTGGAATGATCCATCCATTCTCGACTGGTATACCTTGAGCTCGACGTGTAGTATACTTGATTGCTCGACTTGCTATCGCTTAGATGGAGATACGAAACTTTTTCAAACAGAATCAATCGGCACTGCTGAACATCTTAAGTATTTATCATCGACAAAAGGCGGAGCTAAACTGAATTTTTACGCTAAATACGTTGGTCGGGATCCACATGTACATATCGGAGGCAACGTCTGTACCAACGTTGTAGTGTCTACACCCGTTGTACCATCGAACATTTTTCTTGCAAAAGAAGATAATGAAGTTGGCAGCATCCGTTTGATATCGTGCACCGTTCCTAGCGGTCAGGGAGCCATGTTGGCTTTTACACTAACGCGCGGTACAACATCAAGCAGCCCACGGTACTTTGATTACATCCCACCTAAGGTTGACTGGATTGGAAGCAATGCAACCATGTCCTCTACTGCTGGGAAATTGGTAACTTTAACTGGATCAAACTTTGGTTCTACACCAAAAGTGTTGATGATTGCCGCCCTAAATGCGTCTGTCATTTTCCTCAACATCATAGCATTCAACCATTCACATGCCATGGTAACAATTCCCCCTGGAGAAGGTCAACATTACACGTTGACTTTGGTCGCAGGTAATCAAGAAGAATCGACTTCTTTTCAATACGATCTTCCCGTTATCAGTAGTATTGAAGTAGCTGACGCGTCGACGGTCGGTGGATCTGTGATGACAATTCGAGGTAAGAACTTCGGAGCAAGCACACTCTCGAATGCACACACCGTCTCGCTCGGCGAAACGTTTGCATGCATCATAAGTAGTGTCAGCCATGAACTTATTAATTGCACGATAAGTGAAGGCCAGGGTGGTGATCATGACGTCATTGTGACTGTAAGTGGCCAAGCGAACATCGATAGAACGATTAAGTTTAGCTACAATGCTCCTGTTCTTCACAGCGTCAGTAGGAGTGATGGCCCTACCTCAGGTTATACGTGTAGCTGTACAGATCCAGATCAACCCTGCGCAACGCTGACGACGCCGGTCGAGTGCCATTATCTTGAAGCGAGTTCGACGAGCACCAACCTTGATGTCTATTGTGTTCAAAGCAATTTAAATGGATCTTTTCGAAAGACCACCGTCACTGCGGTGGAAGATGTATATTCAAGCAATAAACCCGTCTATGTGAGTAATGAGGACGCAAATTTGGAGCTTCTGTATACCAATGGGTTTTGGCATCTGCTACAAAACGACACCAAATTATATCGCGCCAGCACAACATCGGAAAAACCACCCCCTACAGGTTGGCTCGACGTGACAGTAAATCCACCTGTTGGTCTTGGTATAATGAAAATATACCCAGGCTTTTGCTCAAAGGCTTTATCACGTGTTTGTCCGGCAGGTACGGAATTGTGTACACGTGTAGCTGTCACGCTGGCGGGAAAGAACTTTGGAGTTCAGTCGCTTGATTGGCAGCTTGAGCTAATTAGCGACGCTAAGATACTAGCTGACACAGTCATAGTTACAAACGATGATATTATATACTTTAGCCATTCAAATATCAGGTTTTATCTGCCACCCGGACAAGGCAGTTCAATGCTGATCAACTTGACTGTTTCGAAGCTGAAGCTTACTAACGAGCCGATAAAATTCGGCTATCAGACACCGCTATTAATGGGATTTGAGACAAGTACCAGTAATTTGTCGACTTGCGGCGGCTATACGATGACACTTTACGGAAAAAACTTTGGATCAACCCGAACAAAAGTGCTTCTTGGTGGTCGCGATGCGCGCATTGATGGACAAAGCTCGCATCCGAAGGCATGTGGCCCTGACACGTGTGAATTCTCGACAAGTGGTCCCTGTATTGATCTTGATACGTTGGTATGTTCTCCATCTCTGTATGTCGTCAAGCCTACATTTAGCTTCCTCGATCTTTGTGATGACACAAAAGGATCACAAATACTATGTGATGCTGTCACTAATGTGCCTGACTTGGCTGAGAACCTTGCAAGCCACTCTGACTTTGTGATCACAACAACGGTCCCGGCTGGATATGGGATCGACTTGAAGGTTTATGTGGTTGTTGATGATCAAGCCAGCAACGCGTTAATGTTCTCATACAACCAACCAGTGGTTATGGCCCAAATGCCCAATCAACCGGATGCAAATGGAGCGAATGCTATCACAATCAAGGGCACTGATTTCGGTTGTTTTCCTAATAAGGCTATAATCATTTCATTTGTCTCAGTGGACACTGTGGAACCTGTATTGCGAAATCTAGGCACACTTACAGAAAATTTGGAAAATTTTCACGTATATGGTAATGATGTTCCACGATTGTCGGCTGATACAGTGACACCAGCAACCTCAGTAAATAGTAGTGTAATTGAATCCGGTACGGTCGTGTGGACGAGTTCTTCGGAATTAATTTGGTATCCCCCTAAGACGAAAGCTGGTACAACAAGCATTACTTTGTCGGTGGGTGGAAATGTAATGTCTTCTGTAAGTCAGACTCAATTAAAGTTTCGGTGTGGCTTTGGTTATTACCGAACTCTGTCTGAATTTTGTGATGAATGCCCAAAAGGAGCTACGTGTGTTGGTGGTGATGAGATGCCGATGGCCAAACCCGGATATTGGCGTGAAGGTGAAATTGTTCTCGCATGTGACCCCAAATTCGCCTGTTTAGGGGCCAATGAGTGTGCCAACGGGTACACGAGCGTACGGTGTGGAGAGTGTGTAACAAACTATCACAAGCTCAACTCAGAGTGCAATCTGTGTCCGAATAACCACTGGGGTTCCGTTGCCATTGTGGTAATTTGCATCGGTGTAGCATCTTTTGTTAGTTATTTGCTTACTCGAAGAGGTGTGAGTCTTGGTTTGCTATCAATCGGTATCGACTATTTCCAGACTCTATCCATATTTGGGAATGCCCAAATTTCATGGCCAGCGACTTTAGTTAATTTATTTGCAACACTATCAGCTTTTAATTTAAATTTGGAGCTGGTGGCACCAGAATGCTTTTCGATTCAGGTCTCGTATGTGACCCAATGGTTCATGATTGAGCTATTTCCATTATTTATGGGAGCAACTTCTCTAGGAATATTCGTAACACTTTATGCTTACAAACGGTTCATAAAAAAGCGTTGCACAAAATTAACGTCCCACTTACCTCAGCTGTTTGGCTCTACGCTAGTGATGATGTATTACTTATATCTTTACCTCACACGAACAACATTGGATGTATTCAATTGCGTAGAGGCTATACCATCTGATGGAAAGTTGTACATGGTTGCCATCTACGCGCAATGCTTCAAACATGGGGGAGTTCATATGCAGCTATTCCCATTTGCAATGATGTCCTTTGTGATGTATTCGCTGGGCTATCCACTCTTTGTGCTACTAACATTGTCGCGAAACCGTGGTTTAGTGATGGAAGACCAGCTTCTGAGGGCGATGCAGCGTGGCACCAGTCGAAAGACAAATCCTAATTGCTGGGTGTTTCGCAAGAAGTTTTCTAAGCTTTATTATCAATTCAAGCCCGATTATTGGTTCTGGATGGTACTTATTATCGTAAGAAAGTTTTTGTTGGCGGGTATCGGACTTCTTTTTCGTCAAGATCCAATATTTCAACTGGCTACGGCATCGTTCGTATTGTTTGTTAATTATGCGCTACAAGTACGTTGTCGTCCATACATGAGTGCTTATGAGACCCAGAGGGTACTGGCAGACTATGCGAAACATGTGCTGCTAGAAACGCGTCGTGCAAAGGCCAGAAAAGAAAGTTTTGTTCAACCAGCACATCTACGGTTGGAGATGCACGCCTCTACAATCACGGCTTGGAAGAGCAGACACAGAGATAACGGCGTCGCTGGAATTTCGGCTCGACCAATGTCAAGTTTGCGGGGTGCAAACGAAGCAATTCTTGCTTCACAGGAACCTCAAAATTTGATTGGATATCTTTGGGATCACAATACTGTGGAGGCTTGTCTACTTTTTAGTGCCTCCCTCGTATTGTTGGCGGGCATCATGTTCGAAAGTGGTCGCTTCGGAACCACCGAGACCAGCTCAAAAAGTGCTTCTTCTCAATTGTTGGCAATGGCGACCACACTTCTCGTTCTTTTTAGCTGCGTGTACTTTGTCCTAGTTTTGATAACGGAGCTTGTTGTTGCACTTCGACCGGACTACTACAAACAAATCACACGCGTCCAAAAGTTGTTTAGTAAAATACACCGCCGTCACAGAGATGGCTATGATACGCAACATGGAAATGATCACAAAAATGTTGAAGGTAATGATAGCGATGATAATGACGATGATGACCTTGAGATGGTAGCGACTATGACTCAAAACCCGCTGCACTTAGCTGGTACGTGTGAAGGTGCAATGCAAACGACTGAGAGTGATGCTTTTGCTGCTCTGAAAACTTTTCAACGTTGCGAATCCCGTCGAACAGTAACTAGCACGCAATGTGTGAGTGATGACAAAGTTTCGCATGTAGTAGAAAATACTTTGCGCAGGAGAAACTCTCAATGTCAGCAAGGCACTTCCTTATCTGATGGAGCAGCATTGTTGAGCGAAGATAACATGGAAGAGCTAATTTCGACAATCGAGCAGACCGATGGTGTACGGCATTCAGTAAACAATTAGATTTTCATGCTGTCGACAGAACGTAATTTAAATTAAAATTAAGATTTGAATCTACTGTTACGTCGTTCACTGATGCGGTAATTTCATTGCACCGAGCAGCATGAAGGGGCAAGTTCGGATGGCCAAAGTTTTACACAGTTGCCAAGGTTGCGTACACCTTGTTTATGAGTTGGTGCGCAGAAAAAATATTACGAAGTCTTTTATTTATTTTTCCCCTTCGTCTGAATGTCAATAGGTTTGTTGGTAAAACTGCCTTTTGATTATACAATGTCCTTTGTTTGCGGCTTCTATGCCTAATAGGCATCAAGTGAGTCATTACAACAATCCCACTCGCCGCTTGCAACAGAGTTGCCGTTTATCTTGCATAAAGGAAGTTTCGAATAAGCAAACAAACGCACAGAAGTTTGATTCGTACGCTTCACCCAGAAGCGGAACTGAGAGCCTGAAATGTGACGAAGTTGTCAGAGATGATATGAACATTTCATTACATCTAATAGTAAATCTTCGCTTATTAATTGACAAGCCATTTTTTGGTACCTAAGAACATGCCCAAATACACAAAAGTGCAATGTGAATTTATACAATGGTACTGTACTATATTGAATATAATTGTACCAGAAGTGAAAATCTAAGTATACAAGATTACAAAACTTATCGCGTTACTTTCGAAGTTGAAGTGGCAATTATTGTTATCTAACGAGGGGAGACAAGCAGAGCTTCGAGGTCTCTGCCAACCATTCACTCACAAACCTCAATGCAAGAGGCTCTAAAAGGCATTGCAGGCATGCTGTCATGGGATCTACCGAGCCTTCTTTTAAGAGACTAAAATTTTATTTATAATACCAATTTTACCACCTTGTAACGGGGTTACACGTACCCTGGTAACATGGGTGTGTGTCACACGAGATGTACGCACTCAAACAACAATACGATGTAGCCAGTATTTATGCATGTATTTAGATTTTACTATATATATTTAGTAAAATCTATACATTAAAATTAGGAGGTTTAGCCGCAGATAAAAATAAATAAAAATAAGTTTTGAATTTAAACCGCAGAGTCTATTAGCCTTAGTTAAGGTACTAACTATTCTTGGAGGCAGCGGGCTGCGATCCGCTACACTCGTATTGGTTTTTGTAAAGAACGAAAGGTCGGTGACCTAAATTACGCTTCCTCAAGCGCAAAGCTACGGCAGCCCCGCTGCACTTGGTAGCACTTGTAGTCAATCTTCTGATTCATTTGCGTCTATGGCGCCACCACCAGTAACGGATGACTTCCTCCGCCCTAAGCCGTTCATGGTGAGCGTTAAGGTCTTCTAGGGGAAGGATGGAGAAAATCTCCTGCTCTAGGGGTAGAGAGGTCGAGATGGCCATCGCATCCGCCATGGTCCAGACCGAGCAACAGCGCGTAGCGCTAGCTATTTCAAAGCTTGGTGGTCGAGCGCGAGAATGGGCACTGACGTGCGGCACTTCAGACGAAGCTGCGTTTCCCTCTGGGCGGAGCTGAAATTGCAGCTCTCACGAGTGTTCTCGCTGCCTAAACAGGCACATCGCGTACGATCGCGCTTCCTTGCCGCCCAGCAGGGCAAAAAGGAATTGGTGGACTTTGTCGCAGAGATGCGCACTCTCATTGCCGGGATGGCAGCAGACCCCCTTTTGGAGGCGGTCACAGTGACCGTCTTTATGGAAGGCCTCCGCACTGGCGTGGCTAGAATG